CTTTGGTCGATCATTCACACAGTTTGTCAACTTACATGTATGAATGCGACGTTTAATCACAAACCTGATTGTTTTGATCCATTTAAAAGTGTCCAGTTCAACTTCTTCTCGTTTAGCCCATGCTTTAGCGTAGTCCTCAATGGAATCGATAATTATTTTTGAAGTTATGGTTCCAATTGATGTGTTGGGGTTCTCTTACTTAGGACCATGAGATGTCACCTTTCAAAGATGTTCATGTTGAATAATGTTTAGATCCCCAGTAATAACATCGCCAGAGGGGTTGTAAATACAAGGCGAGTGGGAACAGTCACATGTCAGAGGGTTTTTTATCTATTGTTCTAAATCAAGGTCCTGCAATGCTTGCTTATAGTTAAATACTTTAGGTGCAATGGTTTTGGTATAACTGTAGGATACAATAGGAACAGACTGATTTTGAAAAAAAAGGGGAATTTAAGATGTTACCTCCTTGTGATGTAGAGCGTTGCTGATGTTGATTGCATCAATTCCTTTATTGGTTAACTGAACAGGAAGGAATTTCATCTTTTCCTTATGTAAAGGTTCCAATCTTACAGGTTTAAAAAGACGGAAAAGAGCAAATTATTCTGACCAGTCTATATATTGGAGAAAATGTATGTATGCATTCTTTGTCAAGTGCATTATCTCTCAAACATTTCAGAAAATTAACAGGCATTGAAAAAAGAATAGTTCTAATGTAATGTGACCCAAGCGGATGATGAAGATGTGAAAGAAGGTCATCAAAGCTCCTAGAGGGCGATCTAGATATAGAAGACTTTTCTACAGTAGACCGATAGTAATGTGTTTGCCCATGACTACGTTTGTGTCTTAAAGTAGTATTGAATAATCTCGTTACAATATGAGCTTATCAACAGAAACAGCTTAACATCAATTTTGACGGAGATAATACCAACCGTAGTTAAACAAAAACACTTGGAATATGTATAAACTAATAAAAGGGGAATTAGTATCCATTATCAGCAGCACCGACAGAAGGGTCATATTTTAAAAGTGTTTTTTAAAGTTTCTGCGAAAAGACCTCATCATATTAACTTTCGGTGAAAACTTAAGTACACAATTCTTGGTGCAAATCAGAATGCAAAACAATTTGACATTAACGTGTACGCTCGAAGAGGTAAACATGAATTATCAAAATCACTTGACAAACAAAAACTTTCTCCCGAATTCCATGAAATAGAGGTTAAAAGACAAACGACTATAATGAACTCATGGCCATAAATAAATTGGACAAATAACTCATTAAGGATACCATGATTATCATTCTGTACGACAGACGCTCGTTTCGTCTTCACAAATCTCATCGTTCACGCTCATATCACAAACTTTAAAAGACCAAACAAATGCATGGTTTAAGACTAACCACAGCACATTGTTTATAAAGCTAAAAAATCAAAAACAGGAAATTATGAAAAAAATATTATAAAATAAGAACATCTTATTTGAAAAAAAAAATTTTTTTTGTAGGAATAATATAAAAGGAAACATTCAACTGCTTCAATGTAAAACGACATATATTATCTTAATAATATTATACAGGTGTAATACCACCAAATCATAGTACGTCACATCCGGTTGCATACGAAAAAGGGTCGAAAAAAGTTTTCCCTCGAATTTGTCAGTTGTAGAAAATTAATCCTACATTTCATTGCAGTACAAAATTTCTGGGTCATAAACATATATCTTGGGTGTTTCAAAGCACCTTTATTTTTTATTTGGTGTTTCTATAGAAAATTTCGGAAACGTAAGGTTACATGTTTACTAAAGCTTGTACACAGGTAAAAAAAGAGGTGAAATTTGATTGGTTAACCTCCAGTGATGGTTATTTTCTTATATGCAATGAAATGTTATGTGAAATTTTGTCTATGGTATAGGACAGGATAAAACTTTACTCATGCCAAGTATTTCTTTATTTGAAACAAAGATAGATTCTGCACATTTTTTTAAAAGTGCAAATTTAACAAAGACTAATAGGGTAAAACCAATGGTGGTATTACATTCTTGTTCAAATAAGGTATAAATATTTATGACATACACAATTTGAAGATAATATAACACATTAAATATTCAATGGAAGCAATGTACATTGCCTTTCAATATTGTAACAGTGCAGACTTAATACACTTCATTGCCCTTTGGGAGAATGTTTTATATCATATAGAAATGCATTAATACTCAATATTGTAAACAGTGCAGACTTAACAAACTTTATTGTCATTTGATATAATGCTTTATATCATGAATAAATGCATTACTATTCTATATTGTAACACGCAGACTTTACAGACTTGGTTGACCTGGTTGACCTTTCGTATAGAAAAGAAGATGTAGTATGATTGCCAAAGAGACAACTCTCAACAAGAGACCAAATGACACAGAAATTAACAACTATAGATCATCGTACGGCCTTCAACAATGAGCAAAGCCCATACCGCATAGTCAGCTTTAAAAGGCCCCGAAATCACAAATGTATAACAATTCAAACAAGAAAAATAACAGCCTAATTAATGTACAGAAAAATGAACGACAAACAAATATGTAACACAGCAAAAAACCACTGAATTACAGGCACATACATACATAAAATGGCTGGGATAAACATGTTAGTGAGATTCCAACCCTCATCTAACCTGGAACAGTGGTGTAACAGTACAACGAACTATTAAAATCAGTTGGAAAAAGGCTTGACTCATCCGATGGATACAAATAATAAAAAACACAAATAGCAAAAACACAGTGTGGACGTAGAATGTTTCTTTAATTTTACTTTCCGATATATTGATGATGTTCTATCATTGAATAACCCATATTTCAGCCAATACTTACATCTCATATATCCCAATGAACTTGAAATTAAGGATACTACTGATACTAGAAAGACTGCTTCATACCTTGATCTTTTCCTCAATATTGACACAGATGGACGACTTCACACGAAAATCTATGATAAACGGGACGATTTCAACTTCCCAATTATCAATTTCCCATTTCTCAGCAGTAACATACCCTCTGCCCCTTCGTATGGTGTTTACATATCTCAATTGATACGTTATTCTCGTGCTTGTTCACACTATACGGACTTCATATACAGGAGTGTGCTCCTTACGCAGAAACTGCTCCAACAAAGTTATGAGGAGGACAGATTAAAAATGACACTCCGTAAATTTTACGGACACCATCACCAATTGGTTGATCCATACGATGTGTCTTTGTCAAAACTAACTAAGGACATTTTTACCACGTGTTAGATTGTGGTTTGTCATTACGTCGTCTGATCTTTTAATTACCGAACGTGACTTATTCCCGATTGTGACTGTTTTGCTGAGTGTGAAACCGCATTGCTATAAGACGTGTCACGGTACCTTTCTATCCCAAATTCATATATTTAATTTTGATGTTATATTTGTTGTTCTCGTCGGATTTTGTCAAATGTCTCAACGTATTTTCTGTTATATTCGTGTGTTATGGTATAGATAATTAACCACCCCCTTCATTTATTAGATTTTAGTTTGGTTCAACGATATTTGTACGATATATTTGGTTTACAGTTTGATTCAGAAGAAACACCGACATAGCTAGATAATACAATTAATTATCTAATTACTACCACAATTTGATATTAATAAGTATTGTAATTTTCATTGTTATTAATAAATGTAATGGCAGTATTATAATTCTATCTTGAATCAATCCTAATCCTATCTTATTTTTGGGAAATATTTTTACAAATTCATATGTGACGTCACTTTGTGTGTTTTTTTTAGAACTTCAAATGTGACGTCACTTTGTGCGTTGAGGCTTTATCTAACTCGGCTGTGTATTTTTATATGTTGGATTAAGTTGTTTTATGTAATATATCCGTTTTTATTCTGTAGTTAGTCCCCACTTTGGTTTTATCATGTATATCTATTATATAGTCATTTTATAATATTTACTGTTTGCAAAATTATAAATTATTCTAAATAATAAGGATGTTCTTGTCCCAGGCAGAAAATCCTGGCCGTGTTAGGCGAAACTTTTTGGAAGTTTTGGTCCTCGGTGCTCTTCAACTTTGTACTTGTTTTGGCTTTCAAACTTTTTTTATCTGAACGTCACTGGTTAGTCTTGTGTGGACGAGACGCACGTCTGGCGTATTGAATTTTAAGCCTAGTACCTTCTGCTAGCTATTATTCGTGTGTTTCTTTGTCCTATATGTTCTCCTATTTATTTGTATTGTGGTCCTGTCATGTGATGTTGTCGTTTTGGTGTTGTGTTTGACGTTGCCATTAAAGCGGGAGGTTTGGCATGCCACAAAACCAGGTTCAACCCACCATTTTTTTCTTAAAATGTCCTGTACCAAGTCAGGAAAATGGCCATTGTTATATTATAGTTCGTTTCTGTGTGTGTTACATTCTAATGTTGTGTTTTTGTTGTGTCGTTGTTCTCCTCTTATATTTGATGCGTTTCCCTCAGTGTTAGTTTGTAACCCGGATTTGTTTTTATCTCTATCGATTAATGAGTTTCGAACAGCGGTATACTACTGTTGCCTTTATTTATTCATATCGTAAATAAATGCATTACTATTCTATATTGTAAACAGTGCAGACTTGACAAATTATATTGTCCTTTGGTAGAATGTTTTATACCATAAAGAAATGCATTACTTTTCTATATTGTAACAAGCAGACTTTACAAACTTGATTGTCCTTTGTTAGAATGCTTTATATCATAAATAAATGTATTACTATTCTATATTGTAAACAGTGCAGACTTAACAAATGTTATTGTCTTTTGATAGAATGTTTTATATCATAAAGAAATGCATAACTTTTCTATATTGTAACAAGCAGACTTTACAAACTTAATTGTCCTTTGTTAGAATGTTTTATATCATAAATAAATGCATTACTATTCTATATTGTAAACAGTGCAGACTTAACAAATGTTATTGTCTTTTGATAGAATGTTTTATATCATAAAGAAATGCATTACTTTTCTATATTGTAACAAGCAGACTTTACAAACTTAATTGTCCTTTGTTAGAATGTTTTATATCATGAATAAATGCATTACTATTCTATATTGTAAACAGTGCAGACTTAACAAATGTTATTGTCCTTTTGGCACAATGGTTTATATCATAAAGACATGCATTACTTTTCTATATTGTTACAAGCAAGATTTACAAACTTGATTAACCTTTCATAGAATGTTTTATATCATAAAGAAATGCATTATTATTTACCCCATTACTAACTAACAGGCAGTCGTTTAATTTGTCGTAATAAATGCCTTTAGCGTACCCAAACATATTTTCATTTTTCCACGAAAGTAGTTCTATATGATGAATACCATCAGGTAATACAACTATAACATTGCTTGAAAGTTGACAAGTCACATACACATTACCGTTACCATCAGTTGTAATTCCTCTCGGCAATTGCATTTGATCATTTGTAAACGTCCATATGAATTGTCCATACAAGTCACAGCAGTATAGTTCATTTTTAGAGGGATTAGTAAGAAATAGTCTGTCTTTAACAGTTGCAATGCACCATACGTACTCTGATGGACAAGGAAATGATCGGATTAGTTCGCCTGCAAGATTAATTACATCAACCTTCTTCTTTTCAATAACAACGAACAATAATCCGTCTTGATATGACATTCCAGTGGTGTCCCCACTGATTTCAAATCTATTCTTAACTTGACCTGTTTTGATATTGATTATCTCTATATTATCTCTATATTGTGGGATATTGACAGCAATAGCAAATTCGGTGTCGTTTATTACTGATATACCCCATGAATTTTTAGGGAGTTTGAGTTCTTTTTTGTACTTTCCTTCTTTGTTGTGGACGATTAACTTTTCTCTGTGTTCTTCAAGAAAAACAATCAGTTTACCTATGATAGCACAATGAAAGATTATAAAGCCTCCACTTGTCCTCATACGCCTTCTAATAAAATTTCCGTAAATTTCTATTGTACGAAGGAAAGTAGCTGTAATTTGAAGAGGCTCGCCATCTAATACTAGGCCTTGCGACAATGTCAGCGGAGCTGAAAATAACTGACGAATATATTCGAATGTTTATGAAAGAGTTACCATTTGATAATACTGCCGTATATACGTGATTAAATAAAGATACATGACACAATTATTAAGTATCGATCATAATTATAAGGCAAATTTGATATTGCATGCATTTGATAATTAAGAAGACAGGACATGAGCCTTTGTTAGCAAAACATTAAGCATTCAAATTATTTTGTAAGAAAAAAAAATGGAAAACTAGTTTTGCATAGAAAAAACCTAATACGCATAAACGTTTAAAGTGTTAATCTGTTACAAAAATAAATTAGCATTGCATTTTTTTTGTTACTTTGCTTTTCTGAAAAAAGCGATACCTAGGTTAATAACTACTCATTTGCTATTCAAGATTAATGACAAAGTTACTTGTTTATGTATATGAAGATATAGAGATTGCTCTTGTCAAATGTTTGATTGTTCTTTTTTGAGTGTGTTTTGTTTTGACTTACCATCGAATTCAGTATTTGTCACATGGTCATCAGCTATTTTATTACGCATCAAACTATACGGTTCTGAAAATATAAAAAAAAGACTTTTGTGAGCTTGAAGTACGTAGGAATTACTTTCAAGGAAAATAAAAATATTTTCTAAACTTGCAATGGTTAACTTATAAGATTTGAGTGAAAAAAAAGCTTGAAATTATTTTTTCCAGATTTTCTAAAAAATATTTGCCGTTTGATGTTTGGAAGGTGGGTATATATTTGAAAATGTTTGTAAGTTTTAGACGTTTTGAGACATACAATTTATGGTGTTGAGGATATTTGTATATGCATAATTTTCTTTGTTGTGTCTGGTTTTGCTTACCTTTAAATTCAGTAAAAGGCATCATCTGGTCATCACCTATTGCTGAGAGATATGTTTGCTCTCTTTCACTTTCAATACTCTTCGAACAATAATTTTCTGAAGCATTAAAAAAAAATACTTACATACGCTTGATTTGAGAAAGAGGGCAATACTATATAGCCTAGCCTTGCAATGATGAAAGTGTTTTTTTCATGAATCTGTGCTTGACACGATAAGTAACTTAGTTGCTTAACAATTTTCTCTGAATGTATATTGTCTAATGGTTTTAGTTGGAGGTGTGAACTACCGAATTAGATTTATCAGCGCTTATGGACTTAAACGAGGAACACGACAGATGTCACATGTGAAGCAGAATATGATTACCCTCCCGGAGCAACTGATACCTCTCCCCGGTTTTCGTGTTGCTAAATTTTTATATGTAGTGTTTTGTTTACTGGTGTTTGTCTTGTGGTCTTTTTTCTTCATCTTGTGTTGTTGCATCGCCAGTTTACTTTCGATTTATGAGTTTGAATGCCCCGTTGGTATCTTTTGCATCTCTTTCAGGATATACAATTGATTGGTTGTATATGTTAATTATATTTTTTTATTATTCTTACCATGAATCCCAGTATTTGATGTCTTCCTGTCGTTAGCTTTTTCTGTAAGATGTGTTTGCTCTTTTTCCTCTTCATTACTCTTTGAACTATGTTTTTCTGAAAGAAAAAAATAGGAACTGATAAACGCTTGTAATAGAAATCAGGCATAAATATAATTATTTCCCAATTTCCTAACTATGCAAACAGATCCACTTAATGAGTAAATATTATGTTCTTCTCTTCAGGATTTACCGTCACAGGGTCTTCAGCATAAACTCTATGATTTGTTAGCTCTTTTTCACTTTTGAGTGGGAGACACACAGTTTAATTTTTTCGATCATGTTTTTATATATTTGTCTTTTTTTAACAATCAAATTCATTATTTGTCATCATCTGGTCATCGGCTATCGCTAAGCGACGTGTTTTTCTTTCTCAATTTAAATACTCATGGAAGTACAGTTTTCCGAAATTATCAAAGAACTCTATAAGCTTATTATTGAATTAAAGGGAAATATAAATATGTCCTTACTTTGCAGTGATGTAATCTATCTGAGATGTTTGTATGAATCCGTGCCAAAAGATGTTTAGTGGGAATATTATTTTGGAAGAAGGTCCAATCATATATATTTCAATATTTTTAGGCGTCATGGGACATACCATTGTTCCGTTGTATGATGTTTTATATTTTTATTTAATGTTTCTATATTATTTACCCAAAAATTCAGTATTTGTCATCGTCCGATCATCACATTCTGCTAAACAATGTGCTTGTTTTCGCTTTCACTATTTACCGATGTAGGTTTTATTGAAAATTAAATAAAATATGACACTTCGCTTTAATTTGTTTAAAAGGCAAATATGAATTCATAAACAAGCAATGATGCAATTTATACATTTTGTTGTTATGTCCAATAACGCCTCAAACGTAACCAACCGTAAAAGCATACTTTTCCTGTAAATATTTTATACTCATAAAAAACAACACACACTTTGAGAAAAATCTTTAGATCAATCAAGTTACGAATCGAGTCGACCTTTTTGTACACTTTTGAATTCTGCGATAAGCTAAATCATTGCTAGTCTATCTTTTTTGTTCTGTTCTTTGTTTTCCCTTACCATTAAATTCAGTATCTGTCCGTATCTTGCTATCAGCAAAAGTTGAACTATAAGTTTGGTATTCCTCACTTTTCCTATTCTTCGAACTATAATTTACTGAAAAATGAAAGAAAAAATTACCTCTGTTACCTATAATTTATTAAATGGCAAATATATGTTTATAAAAAAAGCAATACATTTTTCTATAATTTTACGTGGGTACGCCCATTTTCATTGTTTCGGTTAATTCCCCTTTCAAATAGATATTACAATGTATTATTTACTATTTCGACAACTTTGTCCCCAATCATGTTCCAAAATTTTAAATAGAATGTTTTACCTAAGCCATCTTTACCTGGAGATTTATTGTTTACGAAATCTTTAATATTATCTAGACATTCTTTTTTTGCTATAATAAATTGGCTTAACATTTATTTATTATTTTTTGTATTTTAGATAACCTTTTGCTAAACTATGTCTCAAATCTAGCACAATATAGTACTAAAAATAAATATATATTAATTAGCAAAATATCATAGAATAACCTTTGTTCCTCTCTCAAACCCAATTGTGGTGCATAAAGGTCTAGAATGTTTATGACAATAGCATTATTTACGTAACTATTGTGCATGAGTCTACCTTTTAGAGGTGTTGGAACCCAATGTGATTAAAAAAGTTTTATAACACCTGTAGATCTACTCTCACCATTTGTCTTTTTTTTTTATTAAATTTCGGTGTTATATTATGTGTAATATCTGGTGAAATATAACCCGTTTCTTGTAAACAGATAATGTCTATGTTTCTATAATCATCCAATATCTCGTACACTTTATTGTCAAAGCAATTCCTAATGTTCAATGTCAAGAAAAACATGTAATTAAATCTCTAAAAATAGATTAAACAAACTATCAATATATCATGTGTATATGGAGATGATTGTTACAGTTAGACATTTTGATAATTATAAAGGAGGTGGTTAAGGGTTAGCTGGACTAATATTACTGCTTTTAATGGTCTGAATATTTGCAAATTTTTGTTCTTTCCCGTTTTGTGCCGAACTTTCAGTACTAAATATATTTCGGTTTCTCTTTTTCTTCCTGGTCCCTCTCTATCTTTGGTTTGTCAGAATTTTTTGCTTTAAAAAAGTACTACACTTATAGTTTATATTAGATTATCAAATTATGTAAACATGTTGACTTACTCGGTAACATTTTTGCTCTATGAAATGTATGTCATTTAGGGCTCGGAGTTTGATGGATTTCAATTTGTCCAAAATGCGAAGAAAAATATTGCTATCGTTTTTGTTGTTATCTTAGTTGTTTTTATTAATCTATGCAAAAAGGTCGACATTGTAAGTAACTTAGATACTTTACAATTGTCTCTGAAATGTGTGCATCTCATGTTTTGATGAAAGACATTAATTGCAAGACAGGTCCTATCATATATGTTTCAATATGTGTTATAGGTTGGGGACATAACATTGAACTTTTGAATGATGTTTTATATGTTTGTTTTTTTTTAATTATTTACTATCAAATTTAGAAGTTGTCGTCATCTGGTCATCATTTAAAGTTGAAAGATGTGTTTGCTCTTCATCACTTTTAAATTTCATAGAATGTTATTGTTTATAATTGATGTGTGTTAAAGTAATTGTTTAATGTTTGTTGATCGAAATACGTTTGCTTGATTTGATTTAGAATGAACAAAGACATTATTTAAGAATTGTGCAGGTTACTATTATTTATTAATACAACAAACAACAACAACTTGATTAGTTTTTGGCTGCTTTTTTGTCATAGCAATTTAATGTTCTAACATTTTTTTTACAATAAATTGTCAACAATTCACAACAAGCTGACCACCAGACACTGACGGATGTACAGTCATTGTATAACCATTATCACTGTAGAGTCATACAAGGCAGGTAATTTCGATGAATGCGCCATCACAATAATCAATCAAATTCATGAACATTCTGCCATGACTATTTTTTATTATCTTCTTATAATGTATATGGATGGAATGTCCAAAATCGTAATGAAAACTGTAACCTGTAAGATAATAGCAGAAACAGAAGAAATATGTTTCAAGGGAGGGATTGATTTTTTTTTTTTTGCTTAGGGTGTAGCCATATACAGCCGTCTACTAAAAACTCTTCTTGGTGGCATTGCTCTAGTGGAAAAGGCAAAACAACCTGCATAATGACTGCAATTATTTTAAAGTTACCTTTTTATTTTGAAAATACAATTGCTTTATTTGCAATAATAACTCTTTTAACTTATTTTCAGGAATCTGAGTAGTCATTTCTATTGTATAAATTATCAAGCCAAAGGACTTCAATATACAACTGTAACATTCAGTCGTTTCAAATTTTAAATAGGCCTGTAATCAAATGGTCCAGCTATTTTCCATCTATTATTTTGTCTTCAACTTTTTCACTAGATGTCCTAAGATTTACAATAACCGATTTTATTTCTTTGGTTTCGAAAGGAAGTCTGACTTTCAAATTGCAGCTTATAATTTTAATTCAGCAGTGCATATAGGCGAGTAACCAAGCATTTAAACGTCATATCTATGAATGTTATTGTCTGAAGATATTAGTAACATATATGGTGAAGATACGAAGCATTGGCCTAAATTGTACTCTTGGCTGTCGGAAAAATGATTTTAATTGATTTAGTATGGTTAGCCTATAAGTGCCCTGCCGTCTTATTCTTTGACCTCTAGGCATCTTATATGATTTTTTTTTTTTTTATGATTTCCCAACAAAAAACAATATGGTACATTTAAACTACTTTTTTTATGTCTGTTCGAATTAAAAAGCACGAAACTCGTTTGAAATTAAGAGCAAAACTTAACGGCATAGTGTAAATTTGTTTGTATAATTTCTACCTGAATATAATCAATGATAGCAATGTATAAAACATAGACTGGCTGAGTTTTGACAAGTTATACAATAAATGATTAAAATGCATTATTTTTCTGAAAATTGAAATAATACTGTTGTCAGCTTTAATTTGTTTAATGGCAAATATTTGTTCCTTAAACAGTAATACAGTTATTCATTATAGATTTTTAAATTATGCAAACTTGTCGACTCAATTAGTAACTGTGGATCTATGAAATGAATGCCGGTTAAGATTCTGAGTTTGATGGATTTCTTAGAATTCTGTTTTTAATTCTTTTTGATACGTTTAAAAATGTTTTAATGATATTTTATATGTCAACTTTTGTTTTGTATCCACGTTTTGTTTTTTTATTTATCACCATGAAATTCAGTATTTGTCATCGACTGGTCATTATCTCATTTTTTTCAATTTTTACACTCATTCAAATAGTTTTTTTTCTGAAATAATAAAAAAAAAAATTACATAGGCTTGATTTGAAATCAAGATAAATGTATAAATTTCATAACACTGGAAATAGTATAATTTATCTATATTTTTTTCATTAATCTATGCCAAAAAGATGACATTAGATATTACTTAGATACTTTATAATTTGTTACCCTCTGAAATGGATGCGTCTCATGTTTTGAGTGGAAGGCATTCATTGGAAGAGAAGTCCGATCATAAATGTTTCAATATGTTTTTAGGTGTTTTGGACATAACTTTTGTGTGATGTTTTTATATTATTCTTTTGGTTATTTACCATCAAATTCAGTATTGTTCGTCATCTGGTCATCAGTTAAGGATGAAAGATGTGTTTGCTCTTCTTCAGTTTTACTATTCATCGAACTGTAACTTTCTTCAAAAAAGAAAAAAAAAACTGTTGTTAGCGTGTCTTTGTTAAACGGAATACGTTTGTTCCTAAAAAATGTAATATTGTAATTTAAAACAGAGTTCTAAAATATGCAAATATGTCGACTAATCTAGCAACTTTGTTGCTCTATGAAATGGTTGTTGTTCATGGTTCTGAGTTTGGTTTGGTTTGGTGAAAAAATGTAATTATTTATATGTTCGTTTGAAACAAAAATGAGGGTGTGGGGAGAGATTTTTCAATGATAGTTTGCAGTTTTATCTTAGTAGACCTGTTAATTTTAGAAATTAACCATGAATAAGCAAGTACCGTTTACATGCACATAACTTGAACATTGAAACTAGAAAAACTCCTAAGACAATTCAAAACGGAAAGTCCCTAATCAAATGGCAAAATCAAAAGCTCAAACACATCAAACGAATGTATAACAACTGTCATATTCCTGACTTGGTACAGGCATTTTCTTATGTAGAAAATGGTGGATTAAACCTGCTTTTATAGCTAGATAAACCTCTCACTTGTATGACAGTCGCATAAAATTCCGTTATTTTGATAACGATGTGTGAACAGAACAAACAGACATAATAGGTAAAAATGTCAAAATAGGGGTACAAAAGTCAACATTGTTTATACTCTTAATCACTATAAAACATACAAACAAACATTTTAACAAAGAAAAACAAAATAGCATATATACAAAACACATGATCAAAAATGAAAAGAAAGAATACAAAAAAAGACCACAGCACAATAACAAAATGGCGGGATGTATAAGTACCGTACAATGCCAAAGGGATATATCAAAAATGGACTCAACAGTAAATGTAAATAATTTCTAAAGACAAACAAAAAAACACTAAAACAAGTAATTAAGATGACAAACAACGCTATTTCATAGATCTATACTCCGAAATGGATATACGTATCCCGGATCTTTTCAATATAAATGGTATGTTCAGAAGAATATGTGCCACATTTGTAAAACACTAACTACGTTAGAATTATCAGCTATTAAAAATAGCTATTTGAACATAATGTATTGGTGATATACAAACATTTTCAAGAACAGCAAAATATATAGTCCTTAATCATTCATTAGATGTAAAACATTTGTCATAAATTGCTTTAACATGAATGATAGCGTTTAGTGCATTTTTAAAATGTAATTTCTAATAGATTAAAAATGATTCTGCTTTAATAGATCAGTTTTTCTGTTTTACTTACCAACAAATTCAGTTTTGGTTCTTGTTTTGCTATCATGAATAGCTGAACGACTCTCTGGCTTTTCTGCTTCATCTTCACTATCAATCTCACTGTTTTCTCCTAAAACTATTACAGAAATTACCGTAATAATGTATGGTATCCAATGCAGATACTGTTATTTACACAGACCCTTATATGTATAAAAATCCCTACCATTCGATTATTTATGAGTTACCGTGCAACGTGAAATGGATATCAACAAACATAGACTAAGCAGTAACAGTGATATTCAAACAGACACATAAAAGGATACTATAACACGTTATTAAGATGATAAACAACGTCAGTACCCAGAATCTAAACATCAAGACCATCGTGTATTATTTGTGAAGATGATCCGGAATATTTATCAACAAGGTCTTGTTACCTTCTGATGAACCTTTTTAAGAAAAAGAACGAGACGTTCTTTGACATACACCTGGTTCATCAACATTTTACTCAGACACTGGTGACGTTTTACAAAGTCTGAGTAGCAGCTGCAAGCTCTTGAATACCGAATAAGTTGGGAAATGTTTATCCCATATGCAGGTGAAGTTGGTATATTGCTACTAAGGTGGAGGGGGGACTGAAAGATAAGAACAAGTATCGATAATTCAGAATTTAGACCGCAGATGTATTTTATTTCAATTAACCTGGTTCATGTTGTGGCTAGTTTTTAGGTTATTCAAATCTAATAATACTTAAATGCAGGAATAATTTACATCGAACCATCACGAAAAGCTAAAGAATGTCAACCTATTCTATGCTATCTTCATAAGTAGTCTGACAACACGCTTTTGGATAATAAATAAACAAAAACATAAATGAAATTTTAGTTTGATCTCCTTCTTTAAACAAATTGAAAATGATGTATTCGTTTCTAAGCGGTTCCATTTGACTCATATGATCGTGTTAATGTATGATGACAATGACATGTTCCTTGGAAAGACTTAACTTGACCTGATTCCTAATGTCATGCATGTTGGGTTTTTTCTTTTGTTCAGAATCAATATGTTAACAATATGAATCGTTACACTGACCTGTCTTTGTAAACATTTTATATTTGCTTAGAACGTTGAACATCACATTACACGAAAATTTCTATTTTCAATTTAGAAAAAAAAAATCATCCAATAACTTATGCATGCTCTGATTACCTCTAAATAAAAAACCCAGTAGAAAAACGATTAACAATTTAGTTCGGAAAAATATAAATGAGTATCTTAAAGATATTTTGAATAACAATTATTACCGTCAGGTTTAGGTTAAATACAAATATATGCTTTTCTTTTTTTAAACATAGTTTTAGGTTAATTGACATGATATTTTCCTTATATATTTCTTTCTCTTTCTCTCTCCAGACTTTTGGTCGTTTTTCACTTTGTGTAATGTCGTTGTCACTTTGTCTTTGATTTTGATGTCCAGTCATGGTCAGAATTTTGTCTAGTCATTGCTAACTAAGCTTACTATGTTTTATAACCTGAATTACACGTATGTTAATTTAAACACGCCAGTACATTTCGCTGACAATTAGATTGTAATTCGTAAAAAATAACACTCAGCCACAGCCTTTGCGTGTCTTTAAACATAGGTTCTTGGATATAAAAAAGATACGGGAAATGTGCCTGACATTGCTCTGATATAAATACCAGTATAATCCTATAGTTTATACATGACCAACTGAAATACTGATTGCAATAGTTCGAAGTATTGTGTGCAATTCATTCAAAATTATTCTGTTACAAACTAACTCTTTGTTCGTTTTACTTACCATCGAATTTAGTTTTTGGTCTGATCTGGTCATCATGAATAGATAAAGGATTGTGTACCGTTTTTTCTACTTCCTCGCTCTTCATCGCACTATTCACTTCTAAAAACACTTAAATAAACTTGCATATTTATGCATACTTTTAAGACAAATATTTATAACATAATGTATTTATCTTAATTTATCTGAACACGTTGTATGGCATTAGCTACAATGAAGTAGTTTCCTTGTTGAGATACAAGCAACGTTTCCTGTTTATATTAATTATCACTTGAGGATTCAAATTGAGTAATTATTACACATAAAGGTTGAGAATAATAAATATATGGAGAAAAATAAAATCACAACTATACCGAACTCCGCGGAAAATTCAAAACGGAGAGTCCCTAATCAAATGGCAAAACCAAAGTTCAAACACATCAAACGAATGGATTACAACTGTTATATTCCTACTTGATACATGCATTTTCTTATGTGCAAAATGGTGGCTTAACCCTGGTTTTATAGCTAGCTTAACCTCTCATTTGTATGACAGTCGCATCAAAAATTACATTTGTTTTATTGACATTTTTTTTTTTTTAATTTAGAGCTATCATTAGTAAAAACTATAACAGATTTAATGCGCTTGAAGGATTTTGCAGTTCCGTTTAAAAACTCAATATATGAATGAATGTATAAGTAGAATATTTAATCTATATCCCTTTTAATTTAGAAATAAATTGATCAATTAACTTCCGTGTGCCTCTATTACCAGATAATCGAAATGCAGTGATAAACTATTTACAATTAAGATTGAAAATTACAAAAAAGAAGTATCATAGAGATAAATGGAAAAATAAATATTACCGTCAGGTGCACGTCGTGAAATACTCGACTGACCGCCACTTATGTTTTCTCGTTTGTTCCATTTCTTAACTATCTCTTTTACTGGAGATGTAGGTAACACTTCTGTAATGATAAGAAGTTCAATTTCGTTCTTAAATTATGACACAGAAATATAAATATGCTGATATTTATTAATCGTTTAAGCTTAGTCATTATGATTAACATAAAATGCTTCTTTTTTATGTATTTCTCTCTCTCTCTCTCTCTCTCTTATTACCATTATTAGAAAATGTCTGCAATATACAATTATTAGTGTTAGTCTAAAACTGACAAAAATATATTAAAAAAAAATAATACTCCTACAAAACAAACATAAAAACGATCAGGATAGGTATAGACTTATACTCTCGTCTGGTCATCTCAGGTATAAATTTAAATTGTCTGTCATGTGGTTATTTCTAAACACTACAAACCAGTAAAAGTCTGAAATGGCCCATATCTGTACTCGACTGTACTGATTTTTACTCGACCAGTCTGAATTGGTCTGAAATTTACTTGATAATACTCGACTGTAGTTTGAACCATACTAAACAGCCTGAACTTGTACTCGACCCTTACTCGACCAGTACTTAACCATTGTATATGCGTCTGAACCATGCTCGACCTAGTCTGAACCATGCTCGACCTAGTCTGAACCATACTCGACCTAGTCTGAACTATACTCGACCAAGTCTTAACCAACCTAGACCTATTTTTTGTATCTATCTATTGTATTTCATCAATTTAGGAACTGTTTTTAACAACAGCTATTTCCCTTGGCTAGAAATTTGAACAACAATTTGAAATTAAAAATGTATTCAATATAGCAATGAAACCAAAATTTCACAATAAACATAATATAACTTCATCACCATATTCATCAACACTTATAAACATACATATATATCACCTTTAAAATAAAAATAAAATAAGCTGATCAAATAATCTCAAAACTGAATTGTGACTAATATGTTCAATGTTATTCAAAATTTTTTGAATGTTTCAGATATATTTTATGGTTACTGGACAATTTTCACCATTAACTTAAGCCTCGTATAGATTTATGGTGTCAGTTGAGTTTAGTTAATAATGCAGTGAACATTTTTTTTTTATTAAAATATATATAAAATAGCATATAAAGCAACTTAATAAATTTAAAAAATGACACCTTGAAACCAAGAATTTAAATTTAATCATGATAATAGAACTTTCATAGTAATCCTGTGATAAACTTTTAAAAAAGGAAATGTGTTCCAAAGTTACAGTAAAAATTTATTTCAATTAAATTTAAATAATTTTTGTCAAAATTAAAGACATGGCATACAAGATGCACTTTAATAAGGTTTAATTACCTCAGTACATGTGTATTTTACAGGTAAAAAGAAAGCCCTATTTTTCTTAAACTCGTGTATTACTTATCTAGTGAATTCAAAAGGCCTTGCGATTTAATTTTCACAGGATGTTGCAATTTTGAATGAATGTTATTTAGAATTTAATACTCTCTGACCAGGTGTGATCTTTTTCATGAGTTTGCCCCAAGCAGGAGGTATTACTTTATACTTCACCACTAATCAGAAGAACAATTTTATCAATTTCTTTAATTTTTATCCCTTTTTGATATATATTGTATATAATATATCCCAAATTATAATAATCAAGGATTTGTATAGTGAAATCCTTGTAATAATAGATATATTTCTAAAATAAGGTTAAACAATTTCAGTGATTTTGTTGGCTGTTGTTACCTCATTAAAAAGATAATTATATAACTATTGTACATTTTTTGTACGTAACAATGAAACCTATGTTGTTTTTATTTAGGAATTTAGAAAAATTAATTTTAAAAAAAAACACATGCCAAACAAGAAGCACCTTAATAAGGTTTAATTACCCTCAGTATAGGTGTGGTTTTTAGGTAAAAGAAAATCTTTTTTTAACAAAACTCTAAAACTTTAAAATGCATGAATATAATTAAATTATTATCTAAGATAATTTGATTTAACTATCTCTATTCGATAAATCTGACAATCATGTAAGAATGTAAAAATTTGTTTTTATAATATATCTTTATTTTATTGTGGCTGTTAAAAAGACATTTATTTTAACAGTTAAAATTTAGAAAAAGTAGAGGTTATTTGGTCAAGTATGGTTCAGACTGGTCGAGTATTGTTCAGACCTTTGGTCGAGTATGGTTTAGACTGAAAAAAATAGGTCGAGTACAGGTCGGGAATGGGTTAAGACTGTTTCAGACTGGTCGAGTAATAGTTCAGACTATTTTCAATGGCAAAGATAAGAGTCAAGTACAAATCAGTACAGTCGAGTATGGTTAAGACTGGGGTCGAGTAATGTCGAGTAAAATTCAGACCAATTCAGACTGGTCGAGTAAAAATCAGTACAGTCGAGTACAGATATAGGCCATTTCAGACTTTTACTGGTTTGTAGTGAAAGCAATTAATAATGTTTGGTAAAAATATTAAAGCAAAAATTGAAAAGGTCATTGATTTATTTTTTAATGTAAAATGACGAGTTTTACAATTCCATATAATTCAGAGTTTAGTAGTTATCTACATCTGTACAGGTGAATACACGAAGCATGATATAGCTAACACACGAATTGAAATCAAAGCAAATTGCCAGTTAACTGGATAAGGGAACCAAAAATGTCACACATAAAATACCAATAAAACTTAAAGTACCTAATAACTATGCGCATGAACAATTAGGTAAAACACAATTGTCATATTTGTATTATCTATTTATAGACATAAGAAGACGTTGTATGATTGCATATGAGGCATCTCTTTATCCAAGACCCCCAAGGGTGACTGGGGAATAGAAGTATGGTCACCATTGGTCTTCCCCCGACCGGCAGTAAAACCCGTGCTAAAGTGGGGCGTCCGTTTGGCTGTGCGGGATGTACAAATTTGCAGCCACGTCCGGTCAGAATGGGGACGTTAAATCCGATGCCTCGTGTAAAGAGAGTGCCACGCTCTTTGCACGTTAAGAACCCTTGCAACAACTCTTTGAGGGGTCCGTAGGTGACCTGTTGCCAGGCTAAATTTCTGTCCCTATCTAATATACCCTCATTTCCCGTGGCAGTCTAAATTTCTCCATCCATAATCCCTTAATCTATTACAGAACCTACCTATTGTATTTATTGTGAACTTGTTCTCGTCCTGAATATGCACGAAATATTTGCCACTGGACGATAAGCAACCAACAATCAATCAATCAATCTTTATCCAAGTCTTTTTTTGTAAAATGTCAACAATTATAGGTCAACACGGAGCAGTGGCTTACACCGAACAGCAAGCTATACTGTATGTATACTGTTGGTCGTTTTTAGTTTTGAGTCATGTCGTTGTCACTTTGTCGTTGACTTGGATGTCTACTCATGCTTGTTAAGTAGCTTTAGTAGTTTCGTCATCATTATTTGAAATATTGTCTTTCAGTAAACTTGTTCTGTATCATAGCTGCAGAAAAAACTATAAAAAATACATACAGAAAACTTTAGTCATTGCTAACTTGTCTTACTACCTATTGTACCTTGAATTTCAAGTCTGTATTTATACATACAAGTACATTTCGTATATAGCTAGATTGTATTTGGTAATAAACTACACTTAGACACAGCTGTCGGATATCTTTAAATAAACAGTGCTGTATTATAAATAAATACAGGAAATGTCGGTGATATTGCTCTGATATAAATACCAGTATAACCCTACAGAAGTAGTTTATACATACAATTATCATATGAAGGACTGAGTGTTAAGTTTTGAAAATATTGTGTTCAATTGGTGTAGGATTCTGTTACGAATCAGCTGTGTGTGTGTTTTACTTACCATCGAGTTCAGTGTTTGATCTCGTCTGGTCATCAACAATAGATAAAGGATTGTCAGACGTTTCGTCTGCATCCTTACTCTTCATCGCACTATTTTTTTCTAAAAACAAAATATAACTATCGTACTAAGGTAAAGCTTTTTAGGCAAATACCTATTATATTATATATATGTCCTACTTTATCTTCGAGCATTGTATAGGATTAGCTGCCATGAAGTAGTTGATTGTTAAAATAAGAGCAACGTTTCATGCTTATTTTAATTTTTACTTAAGGATTGATGCACATAAAATTTGGGCATTATTTATACATACAGATTATCTATTTTTTTAGTTTGGAGCTTTCATTAGTACAAACTATTAAAGAATTAATGCGTTTGAAGACAAATGCAGCTCTGTTTATAATCTCAATTTATAGATAAATTCATCAATAGCTTATACGTGTTCCGTTTACCACTAAATCAAATCCATTAGTGACACGATTCACAGTTTTATTGTGAAAAAGAATAACTACCCTCAGATTCATTTCGATTGATCGACATACATACATTATGAAAAAAAATATAAAGCTAAGGAACGTTTGTTTAATTCACGGAGAAGTTGGTTCAATACTTCTGCTATGATAAAAGTTCAAAATCGTTCTCAAAATGTAACAAACGGATATTTTGAATTAATCTAGCTTTATCTAAATGTTTGATTCGTTCATCTCCCTCTCTCTATGCTCATATTTAGTGTACTCATAAATACTCTCTTTTGGTGATCTCAGATATGAAATAAACTTGTCTTATGTGTTAATTTCTAATGCCACTAAATTCATTTTTGATTAAAAATCGAAAGCAAAATGGAAAAAAAAGTTATAAATATTTTTTTTTAAGAAAAGCTAGTATAAGTTTTGCGTTAATTTTACAGATGTAATTGATTACATTGCGATCAGAAATTCTTCAAAAAGTTGCAATAAAATTTAAACACCTTATTGAAGGAAAACAATCAATACATTGGCCATACAGAAATCGTTATAGTAACAGAAGTCATGAATAGTGAAAAAGAAATGCAGTCATTAAAGGCCTTTTTGTTATGTTTTATCGAATATATTTGACCCTTCCATAAGGAACCCATTTCAAATGTTTGTAAAAAGACATCAATAGTAAAAAGACTATTGGGTCTTTTGCAATGACTTCGTGGATTGAAATGTTGTAATAAGCGTAGGATTGTTGTCAGTAGATGATGTCATTATAATTGTATGGCCAGATTTTTTAAATAAAGGACTATATTTCGTACCGGCCTAGGTGTATTTCGAAACTCAATTGTGTATTGCAGTGCAAAAAGGGGCATAGTGCACTGCCTTTGTAAATAACTTTATAGACATGTATTGTGCTATCTTTCAAATCACCGTGTTCATAATATATTGTAACGTTTATGAGTCATGTACATTCCCTTTTTCTTTATTTAGATTTTCTTAACGAAGGTTGGTGGTTTTCTCCGGCTTTCTCCACCAATAGAAACTGACCGCCACAAGATAGCACAATAGTATTGAAAGTGGCGTTAAACACCAATCAATAAGTCAATCAATATTTATCTAGCTGTAATATTAAACGTCCTTAAAGTTTTCTCGACGATCGTTTTTTTCGTGCTATATTCCAGACCAGGATAAGATTTTTAAACCTATTCTGATCAATATTTCTTTAGACGGGGGACCTTTGTACTGGTAAGTTGGAAGATAATGTTCAATGTTTGACTTTAACTGTAATTTTTAAAATCTATATGTGTTTGGTTTTCAGATTCAAACATCAACCGTTTATGATTCCGTTTAAAAAAAAAATAAAAAATGGAATGTACACTAGCAGGTCATTTTATGATTATCGGGATAAAACGGGCTGGTGTACATTTGGATAGCGATTTCGGAATATAATTAACCCGATAGAGATATTTTAGAAACATGGTCGTCAATCTTCGGGATTTTGCGAGCCATATTTTGGAAATAAAACATTGCATTATCGCTTGGTTTTTAAGGTCTTGAAGTAGTCAATGAGTGTGAACGATAAGTTTCAGACATTTCTCTGACAAGACGATGATACGCAGGAATTTATAGAACTAAAATCAAGCGGAAAGAAAATAACCACCTGTAGTATCTGGTACTGTTAAACTAACAACAACTTCAGCACTTTGTTTTGTGTCAATAGACGCTCTTGAAAGCATTCCAGACATGATCATTTGGACTTCGTCTTGCAGTAAATCAATTTGTCTAAGAACTGTCTTTGCGATCTTTGAATAAATGTTTAGGTCATCAGGTGAAATTGCCATAATTTTTATATTCATATCTGACTTTCTGTTCAACCTCAATTCGTCGAGATATTCTAAAATGTTTGTTCTGTTCCATAAAGCCGGTACGTCAAGTTGTAAGAAAACAGGTACATGAACTCTCTGGCAGTCTGGAAAATCAGAATACACTGTGGTTTGATATGATTTATACTACCATTCATTAATTTTAGTTTTGAAAAATACAGTTTTTCAAAATATATGGATTATACACCGATGAGACATCAAAACATTAAACTGAATGCAAGCTCAAAGTATTTTCCTTCGCTTCACATTTTTAAATTAAGATAAAAGCAATCAATTTTCAGTGAAATACTATACCTTCTACCACTGATCCTGTATTGTTCGACGTTTTCATATACTCATCCTCTCCAAAAACTTTGATCAGTATATCTATATTGTCAATCCTAGTTTTAAGATTTTCTGTCCAAATATAAGGAAAGACAGATGTAATAATCATACCTTGAAATTCATTGCAAGACAGACATAGACGTTGTAATGAAACAGTCGAATTCACAAAAAGGATGTTTTTATAGCTCAAATTGGGCAAAAGACAAATGAGCTTTTCTCGTTAATAAAATCAAGAAAATTCCCTTCTTGTATCTCTCTTTCTATTTAGTATCTTGTTTTTTTACGATTTTTCGTTATTCTTAATAGCAATTATACTTCGGCCACGCACCCGAATATCAATCTGAAATGGCCGAAAAATTTCACAGTAGACAATGTTTATTTGTCCACGAACAGAAGGCAAAAATACGTACAATTCATCTATATATATGCCAACAAATTGATTCGAGTTAGGAATTGGCATATTTGCATTTTTTGTTTCAGGGGCATGTATTATCCTATTGTAACGGCTGACGTCATGATAAGGCAATATGGCCGCTATGTAAATTAATAAAGTATACCAACTTTTGCCCTATGCTTAAATTTTATGTATAATTTTAATTGTTTTTTGTTGATATTTTTTCATTATCCTCTTTGTGTCTTCTTTTCTATCGTTTGTGGCTGAGTAGTTTAAGTAGTTGAACTACTGTATCACTGCATATTTACGTATTTGCTTCGTGTGTTTTTGGCAATCACTTCCCATGGATTCTCTGCAATCTTCAGAAAATTGTAAGTTAAAAGCCATTGCTTTCTTTTCGAATTCTTCAACTTGAGCTCTCTTCAAAATATATAACATATTAATCAAAACTGTATATAAATAAACTCATCATAGATACCAGGATTGAAATTTTGTATTAACACATTGCATTACAGTTGGACATCGTTTTAAAATGAGAATATAATTCAAGTCATTCAAAGAGTGGCAACAAATTCTTTAAAAAAACAAATGTAGTGATGCTTTAACGTATTATAAAAACAAAAGAGGTAAATTTGAATTAAACATAACCTTTTATATAAAATATAAAATATAGAAGCTACTAATACATTTTTTTTTAAATGCAGGCAATCTCTTTTGAATATTTGCATATTGCAATAAATATCAAGCTTGAACATGTAAAATACTCTTAAAATTATTAGTAAATTAGTATTAGTAATTAAAGTTTTTACTACAGCTTATTACTCTAGATTTATCTTTTTATCTAACTAAGAAAGGACACATGAAATCTTACCTCAAACTCAGCACATTTGTTCTTCCAGTAGTCACGACACATTTTTTCATATTTATCCATATAAGCAGGAATAACTGTAAGCTTTTTAGTTTGAAGAATTTGTTTCTCAGTTTCCTCAGCAAATGTACGGTTTATGAGATTAGCTATTCCCATGATGGATCCATTTATTTTTTCCCATTTCCTTTTAAATATGTCATCTGTCATTTTTTGTGTATCTGATATATGGAATATTTTGTTTCGCTCTTCTCTTATCTGCGACGTCCAGTTATCTACTCCTAATTCCTGTTTTCCACATTTATTTATTATATAGTATGCAAGTGTTATATCAAGGATTTTGACATCGATGTTTTCTATTGCAGTATATTTACAGATACAGATTTGGGCCACTTTGTTACCGGCAAATTTTCTATGATTTCGATTTTTTTTAGTTTCGTCTGATTTATACAATAGGAGTAGCTGCTTTCTTGATATTAATGTTTCTCCTTTTATCGGTTCTGATATACATTCACAACATTTAGCTGTTTCATACAGGTGAATTAGTTTGTGCTTTTCCTTTTTCAGATTCAGAAATAACTCAAAACAAGGCGACGAATCAAGTATAATTTCTCTTATATATGTGTAGAGAACATGGCATGCAATATCGAATAGCAGTGCCACTAGCTTGAAGTAATTCGTTCTTTCCCGTGGTTCCATATCTATAAAGAAATTCAACGTATATTTTAACATATACTGACCGACGGTAGAAACGCAACACTAAATTATTCTTTGAAATTCCCATTTTCAAATATGCAATTTTGTTAAACTAATATATGAACATCCATTTCATTCTTCATTGTCAAAAAAAGTTTAGTTTGAAATTTGAATGTTCAAATCACGTGGTATGCACTGAAACCCTGGTTTTCTACTTATCAATGGATGTGTTACCGTAGAAGGCAATGACTCCCTGTAATAAAAGCAAAAAAAGATTAGCAGAAAGGTTAACCAATTCTGTTGGGCATATTTTGATTTCTGTTTTGTACCTTCTGATTTTGCCTTTGTCCCACCCATTACAGTCTGTTTTGGCATTTATCTTACTACCATCGCATTCGGCGATTTGGTTAGCAGTGGACGTTTTCGTCGATAAAAATGTCTCACAAATGACATTGCGTAATTCAATTCTATTGACGTGGCGATGTCACTACCTATTGATCTGGTCATTGATGGTCATCAACAAATCCCGTCTTCCTGTATCGTTGTTTGAAAACAAGGTGTTGATGTACAATTCCAAAATATTAACCAAATACAAAATCTAAAGTTGAAAAGTCAAGGAAATCAAGGAAGATAGATAAAGGAGTATTTTTCAGCCGATCAACAATTAAATCGGAGCTGCGCAAGAGGGAGAATCAAACTCGAAGTGTCGAAGTTTTGTGCTTGAAATACCACATGGCACCTACCTCAATGAGCAAAGGTACTAAATAAGTGGTATACATAACAATATAGTATCTTTTATGGTGCACCTTATGGACATTTCGACAAGTAATATCTCCTCAGTTATTATTGATGTCAAAATATTTTAAAATCCAAACATTATAAAGATGTTGAAAGCTTTTAAAAAACAAAACAGAACAATGTATTCCTAGATCTGAATAAGAACAACTATTTTAATAAAGAGAACAAATCCTTTAGTAACAAAAACATGGTTCTGATCTTCCTTTCGTTAAACTTTTCAATTGTAGTAAATATATCTTCTGACCTTTAATTTTTGAAATATGAAACTATTTTAAATTGAGTTAAAATTCACTTACAGTATGGAGACCACAATTTCATATTACAGTATTATTTCGGAAATTAACGACAGATTTTTTACTCTTAAGTTTCTGAAGTGTCCATTCAGAAAAGATTATATTACATTGATAAATTCATTTTTCAAAAATTGTAATTCAATTATTAAATTGCAAGTACTGTCATTTAAAAGAAAAAGACAAATATATTATAGTTTTATATTTATTTCCTGAAGTGCACCTAAGTTATATGTTTAGATCCCTTTTAATCATATATCTCTTCACGTGTTTTAAAACTTTATATATTTGGCTTTCAAATGTTTGACTTTGTGTGAGTTCATAATGAAGCTAACAAGGAAACTGCTTCGGACTGACACATAAAAAAATGTTGTTTTTTTTTATTTTTGTCCCGAAACAGTATATAAGTCATTATTTTTGTAAAGAAAATCGTTGTATATGTAATAAAAATAGTTATGTCTTCAAATCAAGATATTAGTTATAGAAGATAAACAGGTAAAAGGAACGGGTTCCATAAGGCCCTTTTTTATAGCTTAAATTTCAAATAAGTATGGGTTGACCATTATAATGACAAATCAATGGTTACATAATGACTAGGTAGGAAATCAGTACCTTTGTTGTAATGTTTAAGCGGCGTTTGTTCCATGACGCTATGAAAAACACAAGTTTACATTTTCCTTGAAATTAATTAATTATGGCATATATAATAGATGTGATGTTGGCCAATATAGTAAAAATCTTTATGTAGATTCTGTATACAACAGCAAAAAATAACATAACGTTAATCTTACATTTGATAACATTTGCGAAGCTGGTTGTGCAATGATATCGTTAGTCATACGTATTGCCGTAATAAAATTTGAGCTGCGTCGGATAGAAATCGACCTTATGCAAGTGCACGTATACATCACTACAAACCAGTAAAAGTCTGAAATGGCCTATATCTGTACTCGACTGTACTGATTTTTACTCGACCAGTCTGAATTGGTCTGAATTTTACTTGACATAACTAGACCCAGTCTTAACCATACTCGACTGTACTGATTTGTACTTGACCCTTATCTTTGCCATTGAAAATAGTCTGAACCATACTCAACCAGTCTGAAACAGTCTTAACTCATTCTCGACCTGTACTCGACCTATTTTTTTCAGTCTAAACCATACTCGACCAAAGGTCTGAACAATACTCGACCAGTCTGAACCATACTTGACCAAATAACCTCTACTTTTTCTAAATTTTAACTGTAAAAATAAATTTCTTTTTAACTGACATGACAACTGCCACAATAAAATAAAGATATATTATAAAAACAGTTTTTTTACATTCTTACATGATTCTCAGATTTATCGAAGAGATAGTTAAATCAAATTATCTTATATAATAATTTAATTATATTAATTTTAAAGTTTTAGAGTTTTTTTAAAAAAAGATTTTCTTTTACCTAAAAACCACACCTATACTGAGGGTAATTAAACCTTATTAAGGTGCTTCTTGTTTGGCATGTGTTTTTTTTAAATTAATTTTCCTAAATTCTTAAATAAAAACTACATAGGTTTCATGGTTACATACAAAAAATGTACAATAGTTATCTAATTATCTTTTTAATGAGATAACAACAGCCAACAAAATCACTGTAATTGTTTATTAGAAATATATCTAGTATTATAATTTGGGATATATTATATACAATATAAAGCAAAAAGGGATAAAAATTAAAGAAATTAAAAAAAAATTGTTCTTCTGATTAGTGGTGAAGTATAAAGTAATACCTCCTGCTTTTGGAAAACTCATGAAAAAGATCACACCTGGTCAGAGAGTATTAAATTCTAAATAACATTCATTCAAAATTGCAACATCCTGTGAAACTTAAATCGCAAGGCCTTTTGAATTCACTAGATAAGTAATACACGAGTTTAAGAAAAATAGGGCTTTCTTTTTACCTGTAAAACACACATGTACTGAGGTAATTAAACCTTATTAAAGTGCTTCTTGTATGCCATGTCTTTAATTTTGACAAAAATTATTTAAATTTAATTGAAATAAATTTTTACTTTAACTTTGGAACACATTTCCTTTTTTAAAAGTTTATCACAGGATTACTATGGAAGTTCTATTATCATGATTACATTAAATTCTTGGTTTAACAAAACAAAGGTGTCATTTTATAAATTTACTAAGTTGCTTTATATGCTATTTTATATATATTTTAATAAAAAAAAATGTTCACTGCATTACTAACTAAACTCAAGTGACACCATAAATCTATACGAGGCTTAAGTTAATGGTGAAAATTGTCCAGTAACCATAAAATATATCTGAAACATTCAAAAAATGTTGAATAACATTGAAAATATTAGTCACAATTCAGTTTTGAGATTATTTGATCAGCTTGTTATATTTTTATTTTAAAGGTGATATATATATATGTATGTATATAAGATTAGTGTTGATGAAAATGGTGATGAAGTTATATTATGTTTATTGTGAAATTTTGGTTTCAATGCTATATTGAATACATTTTTAATTTCAAATTGTTGTTCAAATTTCTAGCCAGGGGGAATAGCTGTTGTTAAAAACAGTTCCTAAATTGATGAAATACAAAAGATATATACAAAAAATAGGTCTAGGTTGGTTAAGACTTGGTCGAGTATGGTTCAGGCTAGGTCGAGTATGGTTCAGACTAGGTCGAGTATGGTTCAGACTAGGTCGAGCATGGTTCAGACTAGGTCGAGCATGGTTCAGACGCGTATAAAATGGTTAAGTACTGGTCGAGTAAGGGTCGAGTACAAGTTCAGACTGTTAAGTATGGTTCAGACTACAGTCGAGTATTATCAAGTAAATTTCAGACTAATTCAGACTGGTGGAGTAAAAATCAGTACAGTCGAGTACAGATATAGGCCATTTCAGACTTTTACTGGTTTGTAGTGCATGTACATATATTTATAAGACTTTGATTGGTTTTGGAACATTCAAATACGAAATAAAAGATGAATTTTGGTCTGTTTTGTAGGGTTCTTATAACAACTCAATTTTCAAACAGTTTTGGTCTTTTTACTTTTTTTTTATTCGAGCGTCACTGATGAGTCTTTTGTAGACGAAACGCGCGTCTGGCGCCAATAAAAAATTTCTATCATGGTATCTATGATGAGTTTATTACAGACTTTCCGTAGGTCTCTTTTCAACCCGAAATAGGTTTACAGATGTATTGATATTCATTTGCATAAGGTCGATTATTACCCGACGCAGCTCATTTTATTATTAAAATGATTAATTATATTCAAATACATTATAATCGAAAACTGCAATATCATATCTTTATAAAGTTTATTGTTGCAATTTTCATTGTTGCAAATGTAGTTCCGTTCTGGAAATTTGGAGCAGGTTCTTGGCGTCAAAGATAAAGGGGAAAAACAAAATCATTCATAATAATCGAAAATGACAGATGACGATCTTCATTTTGGTAGCGTATGAAACAGTTTTGCGGTGTCTTATACCAGAAAAAGTCAGGCAAATATACAAAAGATGGATATAATCAAAAGAGGAAATACTGTAGATTAAGTATTTTCAATCGTCTCCTAATGATTTCGTCCCTCGTACAGTCGTCACATGGATCAGTCTACATGAACCAACTACATCAACTGAATTACAGGCTCTTGAATTGGGACAGGTACATACAGGATGTTGCTGGGTGAAACATGTGATCGCCCAAATATCCCCTTATCCTAGGAGAGTGGTGTTACAACATTGAATATGGACAAGTTGTAAAACTGTAAAACTCATTTACAACGCATACATATGTACAAAGAATAAAAAAACACCAATAATTTTCAAGTGTGAACATTTAATTACTTAAGCAACATCCCTTCTCCCCTATTAGTGTTGGCAACAAAAGTGATATTTGATGACTCTTGAGAGC